TTACCAAAAAACAAATAAAATGTTATAATTTTTTAACCGTTTTTAGAAAAAAGTGCATAATCAATGCTAAAAAAATATTTGTCATTTAGAAAGTGCAAGCAGGGTTCGGATTTGCCTTATTTTATCCCCTCGCTCGCTCGTTAGTTTGCTCTGAGCTTGCGAAACTCACGAGCAACAAGCGAGGCTGTTTGCAAACGAGCACTCGTTAAGCCTGATATGCAGTTCAATGCGAACGTGAGCGTGAGCTTTTTATTTTGACCAATATCTTCGTTATTTCTTAACTTTTTGCAATAGTTGATACATCAAAAGATAGAGAATTAAAATATCTTTCAGAATTATAGAATAAAAACTAATTTAAATGCATAATATGCCCTTTTTTCAAGCTCACACTCAACTGTGTGCGTACGCAAAGCATTCGCATGTGAACGACAAGTCTTGACAGATGTGTGTGAGCGTCCATAAGAATACAAATGGAATTCTTTGCCTTTGCGAAAGTTCACGCTCACGCTCGCATTGAACTGTATATCAAGCTTTACCGTGGAAACACAATGCCGGCGAACGGCGAACTCACCACAGCGAAATTACCGCTGTCAAAATTAGAACACCCGCCGGCATATGAAATTGAACACAGCCAAAGCGAAATGCGAAGCGATAGATTTATTTCTATCGCTCTGCTGGGCGATGGCGGCAGTACATGCCAAAGGTGGTATGTTTTTTTATTTTCAAAGATTTAGAAGAAAACAGCATGTAACACGAATTATTTTTGATGGTTGAAAAATACAGTGAACGATTCGTTAAATCTGGCTTAAAATAAAATAATTTTTAATAATTCATCCTTGCCTTATATTTATATTTGTTATCATTTCATCATTTCTAAATATGGTTTCGTTTTTCAAAATATGGTCACCTCACTTATAAGTGCGACGAAATGGTATCAGCTGTTTTCGCTACCGCTCTAATTCTGTTAAAGTTGGCGAAATAGCAGGGCGAACGGTGAACGACGGCAGCGCCCAATTCGGCGAACTTCGCCGTTCGCCGGGTATTGTGTTTCAAGCATTAAGTACGAGCGCATGCGCTGAGCAGCCAGCGAGCGTGTAAGCAAACGAGGGCAGCGCAAGAGTAGAGCGGCAAGCACACGAGGGCCTCATTAGCTCTGCCCTCGCGAGGGCGTCGTTGCGAGCGAGGGAAATAAGGCGAGTAAACGAGCAAAGCAAATGAGGAAAGCAGATTAGACAGGCAAACGGCATGATTCAATAATACAAGGTTCGATAAACTGACAGATGTCTCTCTAGCACCGCTCCCTTAGCAGTAGCACGGTGTTGCTTCTTTGCAAATTTACTTGGAAAAAGTGTAGCTTTGCTGTGAAATATAAGTATAAGCTTTTGTGCAATTTATTTGTATATACATATTAAGGACATTTAACTGATGAAAACATAAATTCTTTTTAAATTTGATGTTTACATAAATCTCATAGTAGTTTTATTTTAATTCTGAGTCCTTTTGCAGTTTTTATACAGCTACATAAATAGCACATAAATTACGTAATTCACGTAGATATATTAATATTTCGTTCAATATTTTGTTTAAAATGCCAGATTTCCTGCAAATACATTAGAATTTACAAAAATAATTTCACTACTAATTGCCTACTTTGCGTACTTATCTACTACCATTTCTTCTCCTTTCTCAGTCCTTCGTAAATGCAACCTTTTGTAAGGGAGTGTCAAACCGCGGCTGTCAATAATTATCTAACCTTGTATTATTGAATCATGGGCAAACGGGTTGTTTGGTCAGCAAAAATGTATGGGATAAAAATTGCATTAACTAAGAATTTCGAGTAAAGGATTGTACGCACACATGCAGATATGTATATACATACATATATACACGTATGTATGTATTTATCTATGTATACATTCTTATGCACAGAGGAATAGATGCGTGCTATTTTGACCAGTTTTGTCTACTAGGTAGGCACATATGTGCATACATATCTTTGTAGGTATAATTTTTTAATGTTCAATAATTTCTTAAAAAATTTCAAGTGCATGGCCGTGGTTTAAACTCAGTTAAAACGCACGATCTGGCTGGTTTAAACTAAGATGAGCCAATCAAATGTCAACCAGAGTTCAATTTAAACTCAGTTTACCTAAACTAAGTTTAAACTGGCACTGAAAAACTGGCCCTTAGGTCTCTTTTTGTGCGGTTCTTTTTTATGCGGATTTGAATTTATGAGGTTTTTCAAACACTTTTTTCGCTCTAGCGATTTTGCTTTTTTGAGAGCTTTTATTACTTTTTTTCAATGTGTAAGGGGCAATGCTTCTGATAAATAATTTGTCTTAGCATTCTTACATACAAGTAATTACTAAGTAATTCGGCTAAGTAAGTATGTTACATGTGTATAAATGAGGATATAATATTCATAAAAACCATTATTTTGTCTTTTATTTCATAAATGAGTAGGACATTAGCATTTTCAAATGAATATTCCTGTAGTAGGATTCGCCATTCTATTTTAACGATTATCGAATCGTTAAGAAAACTTAACGACGATTTTAACGATTTGACAATTCGCTAAACATATTTTAACGATATTCGCTATCGCTTGATCAGCTGTTGTCGTTAACTACTCGATTACTCGTTAAGTAAACGACGAATATTTTGAAGTTGTTAGCGGCATCGACAAAAGAAAATTTGATATTTCATTTGAGTTAAAATAAAATAATATAGATCGCGAATTTACTTAAGTAATATATAAAAGAAAAACTTTTTGTTAAAAATGGCATTTGAGTATTTGGCATACGTTTTATCCCAAGATGAGGAGATAATAAGACGTTTGCTTCGAGAAGTGGACAACCCTTTCCACTTGACTGCAACTGAGTTTCGCAACCTTTACCGATTAACCCCAGACTTGGTAGAAGATATTGTTTCCCAGCTTANAAAATAAAATAATATAGATCGCGAATTTACTTAAGTAATATATAAAAGAAAAACTTTTTGTTAAAAATGGCATTTGAGTATTTGGCATACGTTTTATCCCAAGATGAGGAGATAATAAGCTCTTCATCAGTGGATAGACGTTTGCTTCGAGAAGTGGACAACCCTTTCGACTTGGCTGCAACTGAGTTTCGTAACCTTTACCGATTAACCCCAGACTTGGTTGAAGATATTGTTTCCCAGCTTGATAGCCAATTAAGGGGTCGAAGAATAACTGCGATAACGACAGAGAAACAGGTAAATAATGTAATTTGCAAGTATTTTTCAATTTTAAATGCTTTTGTAAATTTTAGAGGTTCTAACTGCCTTACGATTCTTCGCAACTGGCTGTTATCAACGTCCCGTCGGAGAGCTATGGGGGATATCCATGAGCCAGTCGTCCGTAAGTCGCTGTATACATCGCGTAACGNACGTCCAGTCGGAGAGCAATGGGGGATATCCATGAGCCAGTCGTCCGTAAGTCGCTGTATACATCGCGTAACGGATGCAATAAACCGCACCATGTTTTTGGCAAAGGTTAGGTTTCCAATGACCCAAATAGAGCGGCAAGCTGCAAAATAAATTTTCGCCTCAGCATCCGCACCATTTGTAGGAGGTACTTACTATTGGGGCTATCGATTGCACTCATGTGTCAATCATGAGCCCAAAGCATCATGAAGAAGCGTATGTCAACCACCATGGATACCATTCTATCAATGTGCAAATGGTAAGAGTAAAATTTGCTCAAGGGTTAAACTACTGAGTATTAATTTTATTTTATACAAATATAGATATGTGATCCAAATCTAAAGATTTTGGCTGTCAATGCTAAATACCCAGGAGCGCGACACGATTCATTTATTTGGAGCTCCTCTGCAGTCCGGAGAGTTATGCAGCGAAGTTTTGAAAATGGAAACCATAACGTGTTTTTGATTGGTAACTTTTTAAATCCACTGAAACTTATTTATTAAAATCAATTTAATTGAAAATGTCCAATATATATTTGCAGGTGACTCAGGATATCCTTTGGAGCCGTGGTTGATGACTCCTCTACCAAACCAACCAGAAGGGAGTCCTAAATTCCGCTACAATGAGGCATTGTGCAAAGCTCGAAACCCAGTCGAGAGACTTTTTGGCGTTCTCAAAGGAACTTGGCGATGCTTATCTCAGCAAAGGACTCTTTTGTATGATCCTGGATTTACTGGAAAAGTAGTAAATGCTTGCACAGTGTTGCATAACTTGCGATTGGGTGACCAAACATACGATCCCGAGACTGAGTTCCTAGAGCCAAGGACACATAGCAGTAATGTAAATCAAGAAGCGCCGTCTTCAACAGCAAAACGCGTCCAATACCGGCTAATTGCAAATTATTTTACATGAATAAAACGTTGATAAATAAAAATTCAGAAGGAATACAATAAAATTATTTTGGCATTTTATTAAACATTTTTATGTAAATAAAAACTCTTGTATCAATAACTTCAGTCTTATTTTGTCTTTAATTTGAGTACATTTTTTTAAGTCTAGAATTATATATGTAAATATTCGTTAAATAAAGGGTCCATCAAAAGACAGATCTCAGTATGTAATCACAGATCGGTTTCTATAATATGATATGGCGTGGTTGAAACACCACGTAAAAGCACGTTCAAGTTACAGGCGCATCACAAAATTAAAACATGAATTCACAAAATGAAATTTCATTACTTATTGTATATAAGAAATATATGTGGTATATCTTACATGCAGTAAGACCGTATACCTATATCAACTAAATTTGTAAACATTGAATTCATTTTAAAATCAACAGAACTTCAAATAACTCCCTTATTAAAAACAAATAAAGATCAATTCAAACTTGTAAAAATTCTTCTTCGAATATCTTAAACAGTTATTCTAAATGTAAAAAGTTAACTTCATGCTATGTCGAATTAAAACTTAACTCTAACATAAATTCAAAAATAGGAACTTCATGCTATATCAAACGAAAACTTAACTCTAACATAAATATAAAAAAAAGAACTTCAACTTACATTTAAAACGATTAAAACTAACATAAATATTAAAACAAAAAATTACTTAAAAAACTACATATTTACACAATATTTACATGCGGTAGATAGCGTTTGGTAAATTATTAAAGGCATCCGCACTTGCCTTTAAACCTTCCCCCATTGTGCTCATAGCTTCGGCCAACGATTTCGCTACCTGCACACTCGCCGTACTTGTTTCAGCTAACAACTGTTGAAAGAGCATACGAATGTAATACTATTTTTTTAGTATGTACAAAAAATTACCTTCAAAGCATCTGCTTGTCTACTTGCTATTTGTACATTCGCTGCACTCGACTCTGCTAGCATCTGTAGAAAAAGAACCGAAAAAATGATGTCATAAAATTTTACTTATGTAAAGTTACAAATATGTAAATTACTTTTAAGGCATTTGCTTGGGTCTGAGCAATTTCCAAAAATGTTTTTTGGGCCTCGGTACCACCGTCCACACGCCTTCTTTTTGCACCTCTACGAGGCGTTTTTCCTGCAGGAGTTACAGGAGTCGATGTGCACATCTCAATGCTCACTTCGTGGGAAATAGATGGCATCTCGATGATGACACTTTCATCACCCTCTTCCATACGAAGTTGGAGTTCCTAATGATGGGAAGCNCTCGATGATTACACTTTCATCACCCTCTTCCATACGCAGTTGGAGTTCCTAATGATGAGAAGAATTGTTAACTGCTGTGCTATTCATAACTATTTATTTGCTTTTTACCTCTTCCACTGGCACACTTTCAGCAACAGTTTCATGGCCCTGCACATAGTCGCTACCGACAAGAGCAATCACACGCCTCTCAAGCTCAGTGGGTGGCTCTTCATTAATGGGATTGTTTCCCGTCATTGCCTGCTTTCGTTTTCTATCACGCACCTTAATACTAGCACGGCTCTTCAAGTCCCTCCATACCTTTTTGCAAAACAAAATTTTGAACGTGGTATTAAATTACTAAACAACTTTTACATACTGTGCGCCATTGGTCGATGTTCTTCACCGAACCACCAAGGCTATTCAGCATTGACGCTAAGTCAGTCCACTTCTTGTCGCAGTCCGACTTGCCATGAAGCTTCTGGAACCTTGATCCTGCCAATCCCGGCGTTTCCGTCAAAAAGTCCACCATGCGACTTAGTTGTTCTGCTGTGGTCCGGCTTCTCTTTTGAATATTGGGTACTGACGAAGCCATTCTATAATATGCGAAAATGGTTATGTCTAATAATACAAAATAAATAAACGTATTATTTTACTTACTTTTTGTGAAAGTATATTAAATTATTAGAAAACTATGTGTATACCACTTTGCAAGCAAGGAATTTATTTTTTTTCGTCATTCTTCTGAGATGCCACCTTTCTTTTATTGAAATAAAAAGAAAATGTCAGCTGTTTAGTGTCGTTAAAAAAGAGTTACCGAATAACACAATCGTTACTGCAAACCACAAAAATCGTTATATTAGACCTCGACAAATCGTATCGTTAAAAGTTAGTGAATTGCACTACTGGTTTAGTCCCCATACATATGTATGTATTTATGTAGAAAATACAAACAACTATTTGGGGTGTTAAACAGTATTTGATAATTAAGATTACACCTCTATTGATATCACAGGACAAATGATCATGACAAAAAACACAGGCAAAATGCTCACAAGACAAATGATCATAGGACAATTGATCACTAGGCAAATGATCACTGGCTAATTAGATCACAACGAAAAACATCACAGCCAAAATGATCACAATATCACTGATCACAGGACAAATGATCACTAGAAAAATTATCACGGGAGAATACATAGTAATAAGTTGTCGGAATTTCAGTATATTATGTACATAGAACTACAATAAAATATTAAATAACAAAAAATCAATATCAAACTTAATCAAATGGTTGAACAATTGGTCACGGAGAAACACTATGAGCGACCCCACGAAGATATTCCAAAATTCCACCACCGCGTATGCGAGCATCATAACCAAAATATTTCTTGCGCTTCCGAGTAGCAACGAGGCGACCAGCATTGAATTGCTCCCAAATCACCTCCGACGAAGCTTGCTCAACTCTCAAAGCATTAATAAATTTCCCCAACTGCTCGTAACTCCTACCAATACGTTGATGAAAGGTGTTATGCCAACCTTCCATCATATTATTAGTTCTTGGCTCATTATTAATGACTACATAATAGCAGTTCCAAGTTTCGATAGGAAACTTGGCAGACGTGTGACCATTTCGGCGTTGAACTCCAATCCAAGTGTCTTGGAAATAAGTAATAAGAGGCTTCAAATCATTCGTATTAGCAAAATATTCCGAAGAAATCAAGCTAGTAAAACCTGCATCCACGAAAGCAGGAGGGACGAATGCTAAAGCAATCAACATTTTAGCATGCAAAGAAAACTCATCATCAGTGTTATAGCGTGTTTCCAACCCCATATTGTTTAAAAACCGTACAATACATTGGGCGAAATGAAAATAACACCCGTGGAGATGAGTATCTGGAAATACCTTTTTCACAGCTCCAATGAAAGCAGCCTCGAAGTCAGTAGTAAATACTTCTGGCACCAAGTGGCCGTCAGCTACGTTTACGAGAGCCTTTAAAAATCGACGATATACATTTTGCCTTTTACATGGAAGCAAAACGTACACAAATGGTACAGATTCGATAGCATTATTACCAGCATTATCATTATCGACAAGACCTCCATGTATGGTGTAAAGCTGTTTAAATATGCTAGATACAGAAGAAAATGTCCCATCAGACATCCAAATTCGACACGAACCCAGACGACGTAAATTTCCCATAGTACCGAACACCACATAACGATTGGCACGAGCAGAACTATCCTTCAATATAAAATTTTCACCATTGTTAGTCAATTGAAATTGCTCAGGTATAACTAATTCACTCAATGTTTTGGGTGTTAATAGCTGCGGATTACTGCAAAGGCGCTGACGCTGAATATTTTTCCGCAGACCGCTCACACTAGGCAATTCGACAGCTATACTTCTTGATACCTGAGCGGTAATCTGACCAACATTAACATTTGGTGATTCATTGATCGATGGTGTTTGCGGAAAAGTCGACTCTTGCAAAAAAATCAAAAGTGGTGACATTCTAATTAAAACAAAGAACCATACACAAGCACTCAAACTAGCAAAGTTAACCAGCCTATCCAATCATACAAGTAGAAATAACAATGAACTCAACTCTTAACTCCACCAAAGGCGTTGTTTATTGTAACGACTGACGTGGGATACCTGAAAACGAAATCTTAATCGAACTCTATAGATCAAAACGTGAGTGAAGTTAGAAAAATCATGCGAAAAGAAAATAACGACAGCTCAACACTTATTGAAACCCGACTTATCACACTCACTTTTCCAACGCTCTCACTACCCGACACAATTTCAATAGGATACGTTCGCCCGTACATACCCCTGCCTTCACGATGCAAGAACTGCCACCGATACGGGCACATTATAAAATACTGTAAAAACCAAAAACTCTGTGGAAACTGTTGACAAGTCTACCATACGTAATGTGACCAAACGTACTTTTTTTGGAAGTACAGTACTTCCTTTTTCGCTCTCGTACTTCGTACTTCGAAGTATAGTCAAATGTACTTCTTTACGATATTTTGTACTTCGGGAGGGAGATTCTGTAACCAGTCAGCGACAATTTTCGGATCGCTATCGCACTTTTTAACGCATGATATACATAAATGTTTTTGCGTTAAAAAGTGCAATAGCGGTTCGAAAATTGTCGCTAACTGGTTTCAGAATCTCCCCCCAGGTCCTGCACTTCTCCGATCCTCTGGACAATCGTTACATAGCCTGGGTGATAAATTCGTTCAAACCATTAAAGTCGCCGTGGACCGATGGCATCATATCTGCGCAGCTGCAAAGGGCTCTGAAGATGTCGTGCATTTGGTTGGATCCATGCATAAGGACCGGGTACATCCCCAAGGCTTGGAGGGTAGTCAGTGTTGCATTCATCCCGAAGGCCGGAAAAGGCTATCATGTTTCTCCTAGGGATTTTATGCTTATCAGCCACTGTCTTTCAAGAGCTCAGTATGCTTATTACAAGAAAAGGTCGGTGAATACCGCCTTGCACACATTGGTAAAGTCGTCAGAGGAAGCCTTCACGCATGAAGATTATGCAGAAGGGGACTCTTCGATATCGAGGGGGCCTTCAACAATGTCACTCTAGAGACGATAGTCAAGTATATTCATAAGCTAATAAGCCTACTTCGTGACAGAACTGTCGCGACGGAGTCAATGGGAGCACTCCACAAGGTGGGGTTTCTCTCCCCCCTTCCCTGGATTGCGGTTGTAAACGACCTTCTAGAGGAACTGGAAAAGTGGGCTGTCGGGTGATTGCCTATGTAGACGATGTGGAACTTTTGGTTAAGGGGTGATCTCTATACACCCTTTTTGATCTAGCTCAAGGTTACCTAAACCAGGTAATTAGGTAGGCGATCAACGGCGGCTGTCGTAGAAGCCTAACATTGAGAAAAGGATACGAAAGGTGCGATTGGTATTCATGCGGTGAGACTAGAAATTTCTACTGATCCTTTTGTATCAGCTGTCAAGAGGAAGTTGAAGTGGAATCATCCCAACACTTTCTTTTAGACTGTCCAACCTTCGTGAGGCTTAGATGGAAACATTTTGGCTCGCACTTGTGAACAAACACTGAGCTCTCAGGGATCGAAATTAGCCGCATTCGAAATTTCGTAATCGGCTTGCGGCGTTAACTTAACCCAACCTAATTTGTACTTCTTTGAGCTATAAAATAGTTGGTCACATTAACCATACGTCACCTGACTCCACTTATAACTGCTACCACCTCCACGCCTGCCTCAGCTGCAAGGATGAAGCACCACTGATCCGTACCATTCGCCCTACAGCCGAACATGCCCAATTTTTATTAAACAAAAGCAAATCCAAGCTATAAAAACACTCCAAAAAGTGGATCACAAAACAGCCCACATTATATACAAACAACAACATCAACAATCAAACACATTTGCCAACATTCTACAAACACCCATAGTTTACAACTCAAGTGACGATACCTTAGAATCAAACCCCATGGCATCCAACAGCTCTCAAAACATACAGCGACTCAATAAGACGCACGCTAGTTCTTCCACACTCACTCAACGCTCTTCTCAAACTACCACTGAAGCTCCAACCAATGCAGAACAACGCAACAGCAATGGCCTGCCTCTCACTACACCTAGTCCCATTTCAACATCTAACAAATTCACCACCCAAACAAACACCAACACCAACGGCTTATTAGCAGACTCTTAAACAGCAACAAAGCAAACCTATGAAGCCACATAGCTAACCGAAACGAAAATCAACACTGCAGGAACACTGTCGGTCATATTACTTATCATCTGCCCGGTAGTACTGACAAAATTTCCGGTTAGAACGTAGTGTCGAGTTTCTATCAGATTTTTAAAGGCAAAGTGCATTTTCTGAACGAAATTTTCATGTACGTGTGATCGCCCATCGCTTTTCAACACATACAATTTCCAGCTTACCAATCGTATCGCTATTTCGCTTACTCATGCCAGCAGTGACCTTCAATTCTATCAGAACTGACCGATCAGCTGATTGTCGGACTTGTCAGATCTGAAGGAATTATGCATCAGAGCTGATCGATCAGCTGATTGTCGTACTTGTCAGTGCAGATTGAATTATGCGTCAGCGCTGCCCGGTCAGCTGATTGTATGACTTGGAATTTCTGAATGAATTATGCGTCAGCGCTGACCGATCAGACCTGACTCGATTATTAGTCAGAACTGATGTAAAATCTAGGGAGCTCTGATGTAAATACCCATATTTGATGAATAAAAATTAAAATTTATGCATGTTTAATATTTATTAATAATAAATTCTTAAAAAAAGGAATATAATTTTAAATATGTACACATATATAACAGGCGACAAATGAAAGTGTACGCCTTGTTCTAAATAATAAATATTTACGATTATTTTCATGAACAATTTTTTTGCGTTGATTATTTATGAAAATATAGTTCATTCTATAATATAAACCCTATAAATCAAAGTTTCATATTATAGTTTATATAAATATTATATTATATATTATATTAGAACCAAAAATTAAAAATATTCAGATAGAAAATATTAAATTCATTTACATAAAAAAAATTTTGAAAATTTGTATGAAAAAATGTAGTACTAATTTATAAAGCGGCCCCCTAAAATGTCACAAAGTGACGGATATAAGAATTAATTTTTGCATTTTATACAGTTTGTATCCAAACATATCGAGCCCTATCTGCAAAGAAACGTTTTTTCAACATTTTCTTTTTCATGGATAAATGCTCTTAAAGCATCTAAAGTTTGCTTAAGTTTTATCGGCGGTTTAGAAGTTTTGTTTTTTTAAATTAAACACTTAGGGCCGTTTACTCAATATGTGGTTAACACTAATCTCCGTTTAAACATCATTATCGACGTGTTCGGCTCCATGCATATAACATGGAGTCGGTAACGTCGATAATGATGTTTTACCGGAGATTAGTGTTAACCAGACATTGAGTAACCGGCCCTTAGTTAAATATTTCTGTAATTGCAATTGCTGGGAAACTTTTTTTTACGAATTTCATGAAACTTTGTAAAAATGTAGCCGTCTTACTTTTCTATAAACTAGATATTCAGCCTCATTGCGTAAGTCGTAAATTATGCTAAATTGTACGACTCGACAACATTGGCATTGTCTACTGTCGTGCCGAAACAAGTAAACGACGAAAATCGTCGAAAAATATGCAGTGCTGCCAAGTTTTTCCGTATTAATACTCTAGTCGAGTGGAAATTTTAGGCAATGACGTGAAATTATTGATATGATTGGAATCTTATTCAATAGTTAATATATAGTTTTTAGATAGGCAAGACGCTTACATTTTCACAAAAGTTTCATGAAATTCAATTCGCAGCAATTGCAATTTCAGAAATATTTAACGAAAAATATTTAACTAAGTGTTTAATTAAGAAAAACGTTTTAAACAGATTTTCAACTTCTGCAAAGTATTTTGCTGGCATATACACATATCTAGCCTTAACCGCAGATAGGGCCCAATATATTTGGATACAATCTGTGTTGAATGCAAAAATTAATTCTTATACCTTTGACATTTTAGGGGGCCGCTTCATAAATTATTACTCAAATGTGGAACTTATTAATACGAGGAAAAGTAAACTTAAAATTACATAAATTAATCTATTATTTCTTAGATTTATTAAGCTGGTACTTTTTCTGCTTCAATCGGTTTAGCCATCACCGCTCGATTGACCTTTTCACGGCCTTTTGAAAGTCATACGGTGCCTGTGTTTTAAAAACATCTACATAAAGTAAAAAAGAAAATATTAATAACCAAATATTTACTTTCAATAGTAGTTGCAATTTACCTCGCAGACAGATCTCGACTAATTTTAATTTGCAAAGAGCCTGTTTCTCCCACCTGCCATCCCAATTAAAATTCATTAATAGTTCGTCAGTGAAAATGTATTTCAATACTGTAGAGACGTCTTCGGATGCTCCTTTCAATTTGTGGAAGTACGTTATCTATAGAAAAATGTATAGAAAGGAAGGTATGAGAATTTTAAGCTTGAAAGAAACCAAGCTTCATTACCATTGCTTGAGCGTATTCCGGCGAATTCATAATTTTGTCCTCAATATCACTGACGGAAGTAATTGAATTGATTGGAAAACTGCTCGCCACCTCATCTAAAATTTGGTCTCGTACCTCGCCAGTCATACGTCCAATTGACAGTTCAATCTTTTGCAAAGTCACTTTGCACTCTCTCAGGATTTTGTTTTCTGCCAACATTTCCGACTTATTAATCATCTATTGGGAAACATTTGTAATCAATTAAAACATAAAATATACAGTGGTGGGAAAATGAATTTATACATAGGAACGCGATATTTAAATAAGTTTCGGCAGCTTTTCCTTTGTTTATTCAATGTTTATTTTTTTATAAAAGTATGGTATAACATTAAATAAACAAGAAAAACAAATGCAGCATTTTGTCGAGAAAAGAAAACGCTATTAGTAATAAAAAAACTCACCTTCTCGACAAGTTCTTCGACTTGGCGGCTAATTATTTCCTGGTTTTTTGCAGGACAACTTGCTAATGAAATGAAAACATAATATTAAATACTATAATATTAAATAATTTCTAAATTGGTAATCAATCGGAGATATGCATACATATCGAACATTGACAACATAAATTATTTCAAGAAAAGGCATTTATCGGATAAATGTCACTGTTGCCGATGTGATATAAGTATGAAAACGGAGATGCTATTACTTACATTAGTTTCGATCGTAGCCAAACGTAGGGTTATGACTTCGAAGGCATCCAGAATCTCTGCAGATAATATCGTATTAAGTTTAGCGATAATTTTAGCAGAAACAAACCTTTATTATCGGGTCTCTGTTGCTCATTTCTGCTTTCCTCCCTAACCTCCATCACTTCGTCGGAAGTTGTTTCATCAAAGCATCTTCTGACAATTGCAGGCTGGTTCGCTGAAAAGTGAGAATCATTAAATTATATATATATGCATATGTACACGTTTAAGGCATTTCACTTACCATTTAATTGGGTTTCATCAACGAAGGACTCGTCCAAAATAGAGTTGCTAGAATTCATGTGCAATAATATTCATGTTTTTTGCAATTACTTAAACTATAATTATCGGTAATTTGTTAATTATGAATGTGTGGTAAAGTTAAAAAAATCGTGAAACAAATGGTGCAGCAGGGGTATTAACAGAAACTTGCCACCAAACGGAATACAAAATTATTTATATTTTATATCTTTGAAGGCAATTTGAACTGTTTCAATGGCCAAATCACTTGCTCCAACTATGCCCAAACTCGTGGATGAATGAAGAGGTTCAGTAAAATAGTTTTCGATTTTTTGAAAAGCTTTACAAATAATTATATCCGATTCCGTTGATTTTATGACATCCACCACCTTAATAGGCCCAATTTTCTCACAAAAACAATAACTATCTTTATCTTTTTTATCACTGATAGTAAAGGAACCAAAATTATTGCAACTTGATTCATACCCCTGCCTTTCTTTAAGTCTCAAAGACAATCGCTGAAGAATGTTGCTTGGGCTTTTAATAATTTTTTTTAAAAATTGCATATAATTTTCAAATCTATATGCTGAATAAGAATCTAATGGACCGAGTTTTTTTTACCGAATCAGAAAAGTGAAGCAGACCATGAATATTAAGGGCCGGTTACTCAATGTCTGGTTAACACTAATCTCCGGTTAAACATAGTTATCGACGTTACCGACTCCCTGTTATATGCATGGAGTCGAAGTCGTCGATAACGATGTTTAACCGCAGATTAGTGTTAACCAGACATGGAGTAACCGGCCCTAAAACTAACTTGTTCGTCGCCATATAAGTTACCAAAAAATTTGACAAAATCTTCTAAAATTTTTTGAGCAACGACTGTGTCTTTATTAAGTGACTTTTCATTTGAAAGAAGTCTTATTCCACTGTGAAGCAATAAAAAATGGTAGTATGAATCATCACTAATATTACCTTTCAAAACAAATAAATCTGTATAAAGGAGAAATTGCCTGAATTCCGTAGACTTCCAATTGCAAAGTTCTTCTAAGCTCCTGGGTATACGACCGAATTCAGAAGGCACAAATTGAGATACGTAATTGAGTTTTTCATTAATTGCTTTTACATTTACTCTTTTGGAGATCAGCCTTATCAATTTTTTGACTACGCTTAAGTCAACTAAATGCATAGAATCAAGGGGAAATTGCGAAACCATCCTGAATCCGGCTTCTTCCAAAACATATATTTTTTTCTTTAAACTGTGTAAGGTGATGAGAAATATTAGTTCTTAATTCAAAGGACTCGTCTGATCTAAGGACTCCAATCTTGTTTGAAAAACACACTCTTCTCTCTTTGCATGTTCCCTCTTCACAGCATTTGGGGCAACCGTTTTTTTCATTATGCCCTATAACACCGGTAACGAACGCTCTAGCTGGAGAATCACAAATGAAAACCCGAACATTGAATGCTTTTAAAACTTGATTGTAGCCTACTTTAATACCGTTTTCTTTTAGAACCTTGTATTCGGCACAAAAATCGCGCATGAAGTCAATTATGTCTTTGGGTTTTCCATGCCCAGAGAAGCAAGCAATGACAAACGGGCTCTTAGTAGGATAATCTGAAAGTGCTCCAAGAATCGGACAGTACACGGTTTGAACTTTTAAATAACCTAAGACCGTCAACCTCTACATCAATCGAAATTTCTTCCTTATTTTGTAAAAAATTAAGAGTTTTGTCAAAAAAATAGTTTTGTACTCCTAGGTACAGAAATTCACCGTTTGGAATTTTTGATATATTCTTTTTTTGCCTGCTGGTCCCCAAAAGAGTTTTTGCTGAAAGAGGTAAATCACTTACTCCGATTCTATTTAAAGTTTGCAATAGGCCGTCTAGAGCATTTCGAGAAATATTAAATTCAATAGCCCACGATTTAATTTCTTCAATTTTATTAACCCCAGGAACACTTTCTACAGGGGTCTCTAAAACTTCTTCTTCACCACCGGAGCTATGTTCATCGGATGAAAATCGCTCCGAATTTTCACTATCAGTAACATTTACACTGATTTCACTTTCTATTTGTTTTAATTTTACCACACTTTCTGTTACTTGATCAGATTCCATAAGTTCTTTGAATCTTTTCACATTGGATTCAAAGATCTTTTTTTCCCTGCTCATGCAATTTTCAAAACTCCTTTTATTCATTTTATTTTTCTTTTAAAATACTTATCTTCGGGTCTTATCTGTTTAATGCTGAGATATATTCCGCTTTTGAAGGCTAAAAACTATAAAAACTATAAAACTTTTAATTTGAAGTATATCGCACGCAACTTTTCACACAAATTTACCGCGTCACTTTGTATTTTATATTGATGGAAAAATATTGTAATCTGAAGTAGTCGGTACCCGTGCTTTCGGTTTTCTCAAATTAAGTTTTTCGCATAACTCTTGTTTTAAAAGACTCATTTAGGTTTAAAAAAATTCTAGCTCCTTTGGAGACAATGTAAGCTTTAATTAAAACTTCCGAAGTTAACCATTTCATAAAATATATATTTTAGATTTAATAGGTACTCGGTTATAATTTGCATTTTTCGGTAGCAACTACTTTTGAGAAGCAAGAAAAGCAACCCTGCCAAATCAGCTGATCAGTACCCTCGAATATCTGCCTTTCGCTTTTTCTCAGTCACTGAATGGTCTCTTTCTCGCTAATGCATTTTCAATACCCCAATTTTACACGGAAATGTACATGTGTTAGTTGAAGGAATGAGCGTGTAGTAGTTTCAGTCAGTCGTGTCCCGTAAGGAAGATATTCCCAAGAAATACATCAAACCGCACGATAAGGCAAATAAAAACCAAAGCTAAGGCACAAACAAGCACTAACAAACTAAAACCGATCAACCACAGGCAAGAAAGCAAGAATTTCAACACAGATGATAGTGAGGACAGGCTCACTATGGTGGAATAAGTACTCATAATAACAATTTATCTAAGCTATATTTTCAGTTGTAGTCTCTCTTATTCTACATTTCTCTTACATACATACCTAACACTTAATACTAACAACTCATTGCACTAAAAATGTCTCTTACTATACTTCAGTGGAATATAAAAGGTTACGTAAACAACTGTATTGAGCTACAACTACTTTTAAAAACACATACCCCAAAAATAGTATCACTCCAAGAAACCCACATACAAAAACACAAAACTTACCTGTACCTATCACTTATATACTTCTGATTCCCCTCGGAACTCATTTGGAGGATCCGCTCTCCTCATCCATTACTCATTGCAACACAATCATAATAGCACTAACTTAAATACATTTGACGTGACAAAAGTAACTATTCATTCCAAGCTGAAATTCATAATAAGCTCCGTATACATCGCTCCTAACACACCATTTACACTCAAAAACCTAGAAGACATAGCTCCACAATCTAGACTACCTGTACTTCTCACGGGCGATTTTAATGCCTGGCATACCAGTTGGGGCTCCAAAACTAATTCCACGCCCTCGCTAACCAATTTAGGGATGGTAGACCAATCAGCATCAATATTAACAAAGAAACTGCTAACATTCACAGCATTATACTGCAAGCCGCAAATCAGTCAATACCCCAAAAATCTAACAAAAGAAATTACACAGTACCATGGTGGAACAAAAATTAAGAAAAACTTAAATTAGAAAAAAAATCGACTATAGAATAAACTAAAAAGAAACATTACAAACTACAATATAATTAAATATAAAAAACCCCAAGCAAACTTTAGGCGAAAGCTTAAGCTGGCAAAAACCGAATGAATTAACCAATTCACCTTAAATATCCACCCTTACACACCACCCGCAAAAGTATGGGCAACTATTCGGTCCTTCTGCGGACTAAAATCCAAGCCATCAATATACTGCATCGACACGCAGCCTCCAAATGGAAATATAATTACAGCTAAAACTGAAATTGCTGGCCAATTTTGGTCGAATGAAGCAAATAACTGCAACTTTTCGCCAGCTTTTCAAAAATTTATTGAAGAAAAAATCAGCAACTTGGAGCAACTTGAACACCCCCGGACTCGATCGCATATCCTACCAGATGATACAAAACCTGCCATTAAAAGTAAAAAACCGGCTTCTTGATCTCTTCAACAATATATTTAACACATACTTACCACAAGTTTACAAAAACAGTCTTATGATTCCAATTTTAAAACCCGACTCCGACAAAAACCTAATAAAATCCAACAGACCATGGTGG